CCCCCCCCCTTTTTTTAAAAAAAAAAAAAAAAAAAAAAAAAGCAAATAACACTTTACTTCCTCTATACGATCCACAGTATATTCATGAAATTGTAAGATGTGTTCTCTGTGATGTAATACCATAATTTCTATATTGAGCTCTGCAAAGATTTTATGATCCAACATATAAAATGCTACTTAAGATTGCAGCCAATTACAGTATCCTTTGGTTTCAAACTCGGCTTCGATTTGTTCAGGAATTCTCCTGTAGCATCATGTGCTGTATTTACTGCATTTCTCATTTACTGTATCATTTGTATGTTTTATGTCTGCTTCTTTATCACCAAATTCCAAATCACTTTGTTTTTTTAAACATTTGTGTCGATTGTTAAAGGAAATACCTAGGCAGTGCCGAGTAAATTCCGGTAATCTCTCCTAGGCATTTAAAATATCTGGCATATTATTAGATGTAAACAAGCTGTAAAGATTGGAGCTAAACATTTCATATGTGAAAAAAATTCCATTTTTCAGTCCTCTCTCATCCTGTTTAGGATCCCATCCTGTTTAAATTTTCCCTTAGTGATGGTGGAAGTTCTAGATGTGAACTCAGAAGACTCATGGGCAAGATAAACCTGGCAGGTCTTGCCAATACAGAGGAGGATTGGATTATTACATAGGCAGAATTACCTTGTGGAGTAGAGCAGTAGACATAGTATGAATTAAACTATGGGATGTACAAGAGGGATTAATACCAAGAACTCTTGCCATAAGACTGAGCTAATAGATTGGGGGAAACAGCACAAAGGATGTGGATGTACTGGCTGATTACTGGCAGCAGTAGCCTCCAGACCAGTGGAGGAAGCAATTCCAGAAATACAAGCCCATGGGAGAATGCTTTAATGACCCTAGATGTCATCACTGACCTCAGAGTAGTTCTTCTTAAACAACAAAACTTTAAACACCAGCTTTAACATGAAACTATGGAGCAAAAAATAATCTGTGATCTAGATTGTGTTTTGTTGT